AGCAGCTCTCTTTCCTAGCCCAGACTCAGCCAGCTTCGCACTGGCACCTGAAAAGCTGCTCATTTCATGCGATTTACAGGACAATTTGAATTGGTTTTTATGACAATTAATGTTAACCCAAGTTTCGCCCCTAATTTGAGATCTCTGCCAATGCGCTTACATCACACAAAATTGGTGATTCTATCTTGATTGGGCTTTTTTGGCATATAAATTGCAATATAAGCTAATGTAACTTGTTGCTACCCAACGAAGCAGTCTGTGCAGCTCATTGTATCTGTGCACTTCTCTCACCTGAGCTGGCCGAGCAGGAGTCAACCACAGGGAAAGTTGAAGCTTACTCTGGCGTTGGTGCCAAACCAGCAAAATAGCTGTTCTGGTCACTTGGATGTTGGGCTAGAAGTCAAGAGTAGGTTCTAGTTCTGCCCATCAGAAGAGGATCTTCAGCCTTGCTCTCTGAAAAGCTGTCTTCCTCAGCCATTTAACTGTCATAAGGAGGTGCAACGGGGATAGCGTGACAGGATGACCCACCACAATTATGCAGTCTCAAACCATGTTTAATAAAACTTACAGGTGAAAAATAACTAATCCTACCAAATGTGAAAAATGTGAATACCGTTGGGTTTTTTTGGTTGGTTGGTTTTTGGTTTTGTTGTTCGTTTGGTTTTTTTTGGTTTTTTTTTTTTAAAACCAACAAGGAAACAAAAAGATGCAATAAACCAAATAGCAGCATTGAAGGAAGCAGGGTGATAATACATAAACTGTGTTCAGCCCCGGACTGGGGCACATGAGGGCTGGCTTGGCAGCCCCATTCTGACAGAGAGTAGAAATCCAAGTCAAGTGTGTTCACTTTAAATATTTAATGTGAATTATCAGACAAAATCTTTCACCTTTCCCACAGCAGGGGAAAAGAGCATGTGCTGAAATTTGAGGTAATGGAACAGATCTGCCCAAGTCTGATCCACCATATATATATGCGTGTGTGTGTGTATTGGTTTGTTTGGGTTTTTTAAGAAACATGTTTAGACTCACGCAATCTTGGAAAAAACTCTGTAGCCTCCATTAATTCAGTGATGAGAAAAACATTCAAAATTCTGAAATTCTTAAACTTATATCCATGTTTAAGTAACAAGTTGATGATTAACAAGACTGAGATCAACTTAAGAGCGTAAGAAAAGTGTATTTTTCCTTTGAGGAACCTCTACGTATGCCTATCTAGTGCTTTCTGTTGGAGAAATGTCACAGAAAATGCAGGAGAAAACCTCGAATCTCAGGAGTTTTCATTAAAAGCATATTCCTTTTTCTATACAAGCTTTTTCTTCCAAGCTCTGTGAAATATTTTTGTTTAAATTGCAGAAGTTACTTTAAGCATATGTAGTTAGATCTATCTCCTAACGTGTGCTGAAATCTAGGGAAGTATGTTGAGTTAGTTTGTACTGGAAATTTATCAGCCTATACAAAACTCATTTAAACTTCATCTAAGTTTATTTTCATTGAGGAAAAACCTCACCACCAGGCTATGGGCTATACGTTGAAAGGAACAGGCAGAGTAGCACCGGCTGGAGATCTGTGTCCTTGCCCCAAACTCATGAAAAAAAAAAAATGCAGCCTAAGAAACCCATGGTCTCTTGTCAGCCTTTCCTCTCCTCTCACCGGTGCCTCCAGTGCCAGCAGTGCCCCCCTTGGCGGCTCACGCCCAGAGAATAGGGTCCAGCAGCAAAGTGTGTGACTGGGGAGCAGGTATCTGAGGTGAGTTTGGGGGTCTCACAGCCGTGACCGGTGCACAGGTTGAGGCTGCCATCCACAGTGCCATAGGTGAGCTGATGTGCCCTCCCAGGAGGGGAGGGTCTGCATGGTTTATGAGAAAGGTGCTGACCTTGGGGTGGTACCACAGCGGGTGGCATTATCCACAGGTGCTGATTTAGGTTGTGTGTCATTTTCCCATTTACAGTTTCCTTCCCCCTCCCCTTGTTTTTAATTCAATCTCCTAGTTGAGAGAAGGCTGAGAAATTAAAGATTAAAACTAAACAAAATGCCAACGAGAGAGAAAAAACAGTGCTCTGCCAGGGCTGGCTGTAGGAAAGCGATGGCAATCATCCAGAAGCAAAGATGAAAGTCTCAAAGCAGGAAGAAAGCTGAAAGAACCAGATGGGAAAAAGCAAACACATGAACAGAAAACGCAAGTGTGACGCTAAGCCAAGGACCAAGCGGGTGAACCCTTGTCTTAAACTAAAGCTTTTAATGTCTGTCTTAATGCATGGTGTTGTTTGAATTGCATTTAGAGGCCCCATATGTGTGCTGGTAAAGGTAACAGTTTATGCCAGGCATCAGTGCAGAATGAAAAGATGAAATAGAACAACTTACTGCACAACCTCCCAAAGCCAAACCCACCCACCGTCCCCACTGGCACAAAAAATGAGTAAAGCTTGCAGCAGCCGACTACTGTCTTTATTCCCCCCACTTGTAGCATCACTTGGAAGTTTAAGGAAAACTAGCTGTTAGTACATAAAAGTTCTTCTCTGTTCTATATTATGCTACAAGGCCACTACGAATATGCAGAAATGTTTGGGGGGGGGGGGGAGAGGATTTTTTTAGAATCAGTACCTTGAATCTCTAAGACTTAAGTTTGTTTTTGACTCTGTTCTCTTGCCATTTTAAAATTGGCTCTTGCTGGCCATTTTAATTTCACATCATTATTTTAAATGAAAAAACTGCATGTTTGGAGGAAAACAAATATTCTTATTAAAATGTTTTAATTAAGATTACAGATTATCCAAAGAACTGTCAGTCAGCCAAATCTAAAAAGTATTTTTGTAGGTTCTAAGATAACTTATAGACAGTGGTAATACGCATGCGTTCCAAAAATATGTTGTACTTAATGCCGATATCAATTCATAATGTTAATGTGGTTTACTTAGTTGCTTCCTTCTGTGTTTGACACAGTGCTTTTCCAAATAAGAGAACTCAAAGTGAGAGGCGGGTGTAAAGACTCTCCCACTTCTGAACTGGGGGCTACCAAAACCTGCCTTTCTAGATATGCTCCGTGTACGTACTACAGGTGATGAGTGTAGTAGATCTAATGGGTTCAGTGTTTGAAACTGAAACAATTAATGCCAGCTGGGGTTTCTCAAATAATACTAATCTTTCTAAGCTAAGTTGACAGTCCAAGTCCAATACTTTTTAAAAAAGTATTTTTTAAATCTTTCTGGGAAGTCAAGAAAACCATATTAAGGTTACCTTTATCGCATTTATGAGTCTTTAGACATATGCATGTAAGAGAGCCCATTTATTTTTATCAGTTACTTCACAGCTGCCTGACTGTAAAATACCACAGTAATTCTAAAAGCCACGCTCAAGCCTAATTTATCTGAAAGAAAAAACTGAAGAGTAATAAAATGGATGTTTCTTATAATAAACAAAATAGCTCGAGACTTTAGATTAAATGGTCACTGGGAGTCTTAGAAGAGAAAAGAAGCAAATTAGTTTCCAAACTTTCTTCACTGTCTTGCTTTCCACTGAAAACATCTCCAGACTTTACTTGGTTAAAGACCTCCCAAAGTCAGGTATACTGGATTACCTAAAGAGGATATTGCTCTCTTCTGTTTTCATACTAAAGAAAATTATTAGAGATTTTTTTTAAACTTTCATGAATATTAGGCCAACAATTGCTAGAATGGATGGGCATATCCACAAATGTGCATGTGAAATTACAGAAATCTGTAATAGCGGGGAGGAAGGAATGCTGCATGTTCCAGCACTTACTAAATTCCTGCTCAAAAAGTGCTTTGTATTTTTGGTAGGTTTACAAAACAAAATAGTTATTTGCACCATTTTTGCAAGTTCCAGTTTGTGGAGTAAATAGAAGGCAATGGTTTAAAGGAATGAAGTTTAAATAAGGAAGAAAGATGTAATTAGTTGCTATATTAAGGTATGCATAGTGTACATTGCTTTAGAAAGGATGAAGCACGTACTAAGAACATGCACGGGGATAATAAGATGACGGCAAGCCAACTCATTCCTTGTGAGCAGCATTTGTAAACCAAGGTTAGTCTATGACAGCTGCAGTGTGTTACTTGCAGAGCCCAGGGGTCAGAGCTCCTTCCCCTGTAGCCTCCCTGTTTTCTCCATAGTTTTGCTGTTCAGGTATTTCCTAACCCACTGGCTCGGAACACGTCCATATTGGACACCCGGAGGTCAAGAGTTTTCCTCTTCAGAGAAAAATTATTAACCTTGCAATTTAAGCATTTTACTTGATTGTGCTGTACAGGTCTTACATTTATCGATAGCTAAGACATTAGCAAGGGTATTCAAGTTGGGTTTCCACATTGTTAAACTATGTGCTGGTTTAACATCGCATATATGGCACCTAACAAGCTGCAGTAACAGCTTTTCCATTTCAATGCTGAATTAAAGCAAGACCACCAGTGGAGAAAAGGAGCGTGTTTGGATAGTGCTTATCCTCCATCAGCCTAAAAGCTATTGCAATCTTTTCTATCTGTTCTTCCTAGGAACAAATTAATTTTTCTTCTGCCTCCTCTGTGTGATCCTCCACTTGTTTCTGTGCATCTGCTGCTTTTTAGGAGTGAGATGCCACAGTAGTTGTGCTGCAATGTAACATACACTGTGGCACAAGGCAGGCACATTCTTATACAGTAACTTATTGCCGTAACTTACAAGCAATAAAAAAATGGAATATTTAATCTGTCAGTAAATCTGCCAAGTTCCTTTATATCACACCATTTGCACTGCAAACATACTGAGTCTTCATCCTAGAAAGCAGCCTGGGTTCATCAGTTAAGGACCTAATTGTAAGAACTGCCAACAGTCATACTGAAAGGAGAGCTGATGTCTGATTTTTATCTGAAATGAAGCACTAAAACAATGAACTGTAGATAAAAGCTTTATTTTTTTTTTTTTCAAGGGAAAGCAGGTAAACTCAAAAAATAATTTAGTCTAGCGAGTTTTAAGTATCAGGAACAGTTTACTCCTTATTAACAGGGCTATACAAATAGTCATTTGAAAGATGTTAATTCAAAGCCATCAAAAAGGGGGGAAATGTCCTTTGCTTTGTTTCACACTAATCACACTTGTAACTGCTTGGTGCCATTTTTCTGTGACAAATATGGATATAGGTTACCAATACAAAAAACAGGAACAACAGCTCTGAGCAACAGAACATTCCTTTCTTCAGATGTTGGTTCTGTAGAGGTGCTAACAAGAGAGCAACTGCTGCAAAAATTTTTTTTTTTTTTTTTTAAAAGTCTTCTGGCTGTTGACCTTCATGCCCCAACATCAGAGGCTGTAGCTGGGTATCCATAGCAATACAGTTTGTTGTCTGCACCTCCACTCAATAGCAACTGATGAGAGGAAAAGAAAACTGTGATTAACATCAGAACCAAGCAAAATACCTACACAAAAATTGAGGACTCACTGGTTTTTTTTCCTTTGAAAGTATAAAAAGAAGTAATGAGTAATGAACTGTTAATGCATGACTAAAGCCCAGAATCAAAGTGCAGAAGCAATCTTGTCTCTTACCCTCCTCCTAAAACTAGAAGCAAAGGTTTTGCAGGAAAATTTCTAAAACTTTTCCTGAATTTTACTGACAACAGGAGCCACACTGAGAATCTTGAATGCTAACAAAATGGGGTTTTTTTTCCCATTTTATACACGTGTACCACTACAGTAGCAGAACAGCTTGCTATAGAGGATTATATAGTTCCCTCCTTTGACATGCACGGCCATGCCCCAGCTGTCAGTTCATGCTGCTGCTTTAGTCTCCATGGCAGCAAATGGTACCTTGGAACATGTATTTTCTCAGCAAGGTGTGGTGCTGTTCTTGGGTCTCTCCTTGTTTGGAACATTGGTGTAACACCCACGTAATGCTGCAGAGCTTAAACTCCCATCCTACTCCTTTGCACAGTAGCACAGGGGAGCACTGCAGTGCATATGACACCACCACCCAGGTATCAACCCAGTATCAACCGCAGCACAATGAAAAGTTCCTGTTCTCTTCTATCTTAAGCATAAAGGAAAAAAATGGTCCGTGACTGCTTTTAGCCCTCTTCCTAACCACCATGCATATAAACTGAGTAACTTGCTCTTCAGATTCTTACCCCTGCTTCTGTCCAGTCCACACACAAAACCTTGTCTTCGTGAGCAGCCAAGTCATACAGAGGAGCTTTGCAACTGGTAAAACACAGGTATTTACAGTCACATGTTTGAAGTTACGTGAGCAATCACAGGAAAACAAAATTGGTCTAGAAGAAATACTATCACAATATGCTGTGGTCTAGCAGTTATAAACCCTTCCAGAGAGTACAGATATCTGCCCTCTGTGATGTTTTCTCTGTTTTCTCCAGAGCTGATGACATCTGTGTTAACCTTTCCTACACCCCCAAAGAGAAAAGCAGCAATATTTTTTCTACCTGCTTGCAAACTACCTTGAGACTGAAATTTGATCAATCTGCTTGTTAGGAACAATTTATTATAGAGTTTGTTTCCTTCTATGTGCTGCTCTACTGTGTGTGTTTTCCAGAAAAGCAATTTATGTCTTCTGAATGCAAACCATTTCATTTGTAATGAAAGGTCTGAAAAGAGTATAGAGTGAAACTTCACACTGTTAGGCTCATTCCTTAGAAAAAGAATATATTTTGTTCCTTAAAACAGACGAATGGTTAGCAAACCTTCTGTTGTTCCTAATCCCATGTTACAGTTGCTGCCTTCTGCATGTCAATCAATGCTGCTGTTAATGCCCGGTAAGTCCTGTGTTGGAACGCCATACAGCTCACTCTGATGTTAAGCCACAGGTCCTCTGGCAGACTACAAGTATTTGTCTCCCTGTCCTTGACTCCTAAAACCTAGAGCAGGATTTTTCACAAACGCCACAGGAATTTCCAATGGGTGTCTCAGACTGCTTTTGCTATTTCTTTAGGTTAACTGACCCCGCAAGCTTACATGCCTTTCACCAGCAAAGACCGTGTGTTTATTTTACCTCCTTGTGTCCCAGAGCTTCACGATGCTGTCCAGAGAACCAGAGATCAGCTGATGCTCATGGGTAGGTGACCACTTCAGAGATGTCACCCAGCCAGTGTGAGATGTCAGAGACAGGAGAACCAAGGAGCCATCTGAACAGAAAGAGAGGGGGGAAAAAAAAGACAGCAGTAGATGCCAACTGAAACGAGCGCTTTTAAGATGGATACAAAATCCAGTGAGAAAAAGCAGTCAGCAACATATTTGTGTTCAAGGTAAGTGTTTCTCCCACCAGTAATTCTAACTTCAAAAATCACAGTGAACTTTAAAGAAAGCAAACAAAAATAAAAGCTATGCAAGTTCGGGGGGGGGGGGGGGGGGGGGGGGGTTGGTTTCAGGTTTTTTTTGTCCTAAAGCTGTTTTTGGATTATTATAGTTATAAACAAAGCCAAAAAAACTTT